GGTCAACAAAGCTTGACTAAACTCAATGCAAAACAAGTAGCATATATGTGGAAGTTTTCCTAATCTAAATATCATATATGGCTCCGGTAGGAATTCAAGCTTTGTCATACAGGAGCTCATCATGTAGGATTTTTATGTTTTTCAAAAGTTAAATCTCCAAAACTTTAGTGTCACTTGGAACAAGATAAACAACCACTCGGACCTTCTCATATCATATCCATCAATTACCTAGACTTAGATCAAGCATATGCTACCCACGAGTTTCAAGTTTTAGAGTAAATTCTTATATCAAAACAGTCGTATCCAAAGCCCAGAGCGTCCAACGTGAGCCCTTAGATCAAACCAACTTAAAAGATGGCGTAGATGCAACCTAGGAGGCGAGGGAGAACCGACATTCGAAGGAGAGGCTGACATGTGGGCCTACAAGGTCGGGCGGCCTACAGGTGGTGCGGAGTCCTCTCGAGTCTTCTAGAGTCTTCTGGTGTTCGTTTCGCTATGGATAAGCGCGATTAAATCTGACATGTAGGTCCACCTTAACGGTTTTCTGAATAAACCCTGCAAAAAATATAAATTCATCAAAACTCGTGGAATTTGTTAGTTTAAACCCTTAGACCTTCGTTGGTGATTATATTTATGCCCTTATGCATGTTATATTGATGGTTTATAATGGTTATTAACTACCGTCAACACCTATTGTAATATTATTTCCGCTGCAAACTCTATGTATGTGATAGGTATTTGCTTAATCAAGTACGATCTTGGTTGTGAAGTTGATTTATCGAGGCCTTCGTGGTACTCGATGGACTACCGGGTTTATATAAGTGACGGTATGCGCGTGTCAACGTGTTTAACGGAGACAGTCATACTTAATCTTGTATAAATTGGGTGGTTCTATCACAGCTGGCATCAGAGCAAGATTAAGTATAATACTATCATGTACATAGTTTGAAAACAAAGTCTTAGTTTTGAAAAGCCTATTTTGACAAAAAAAACTTAGCCATATGCAACTTGTTTCAAACCAGGTTTTCAAAACTATGCTAGCGACAACCTCCATTAAGCCCTACTTAAGGATTACTAGGTGGCTAAGTAAACTAACACTAACTATGGGAGGATTTATCTTATTACAATTTTTATTTCGTCGTCCATACGACGTGCTATTGTATGGATGCCATTCACTTGAATGGAAATGTATGGATCAATATACCCCTACGCTCAGGTAAGCAGGTAAGAATGACCGCTTTTGCTACCAAGTGGTCAAATGGGGGAGGAAAAATCTTATGTATTTATATTTTAGTGTAGCTAAGCTCTTTAGTGTAATTAGTTTGAGAGCTAGCTAGTCTGTCAAGTAGTTTGGTTAGTGAGGCTCTTTAGTTAGTTTTTGAGAGCTCACTAACTTAGCAATTAGTGACTTAGCCTTTGCTTGATGTAGAGATCATAGATATCTTTACTTTTGATATATATGTACGTGGGGTTGGGCTGAAATGAAATCTTCTGTAGGTACACTAATCACGAATGTGTAGATTGAATGTAGCTGACGACTAGCTATATATATTGAGAGAGTACGTGTTATGCCACCGAAATAGAACGTGATTGCCCTTATTAGAATGGCAACTTTGTGAGGACAAATAGGACGAGCATGCATCATGATTGTTATCTTGTGCATTAACATGCCTTCCTCTCCTTTGTTCTAGTAATAACTTGCTACAATTAATAATCAGTGTGATGTTGCTATCTTCTTTGTGTAAAGCTAAGCAAAATGCCTTGTTCCATGCTGCTTGAATAGCTATGTTTGAAGATAGTGTGTGATTAGTTTTGTCTTGTATGTTTGCTTTCAAAGAAAATAGATGACAAGTTAGTAGTTAACAAAAACTTCAATCTTTTGAAACTAAAGCTTGTAGTTGTATCTTGCTAGTAGCTTGCACATACATCCTTTTAAATGTAATTTCAAGCTCTTCCCCTCGAGTGGCCTTTACCTGAATTCTTAAATGCATGGTTGCTTTATTCTCTAGGTGGTACCATAGTATGACTTCTTGTCCTCGGTGAATGCATGAGTTGTTGTTGAGCCTTATTGTTATGATAATCTTATGGTTGCTTCTAAATAGACCCCCTTGCTTAAAAGACCTGCGCCTGTGTATGTGGTTACTAGCCCTTGAATGCTTTTGCTTAAAAATATGTATCTATGTATGCCTTGAGCTTTTGTTTAATTAGTTAGTCGAAGTTAAGTTTTCCCAAATGCTAAGTCTTGCTTGTGGTATGTCCATGTGCCTGTTTGTGAAACAAAAGATAAAAACTTTGAAGAGTGTTTTGAGTTCATCCGCCTTTTAAACTTTTTGAGGGACACCATTTCATTTAAATCAACTCTTTAAACCTTACATGGGACTAAAGTTGCAATATATCTCAATAAGATTTTATTAGTCCCTAATTTGGATGTCATCAATACACCAAAACCCACAATGGAGGTAAATGCACTTTCAAAACAAGAATATAGAGATAATTGTAGGTACAGTCGTGGTTGCAAAGAACCCATGCCTTCATCCAGGGGGATGTTCGTGTTCTTGAAGTAGTTGACGTGCATGAACAACATCACCTTGTTGATTGCTTGGTTTTCCCAAAGAAAGGTGAGAGCCCTATGCCAATGAAGCTTCTGAGAGTGATCTTGATGGGACATCTACTTTGTCACATGGAGGAAGCTTATGGACTACACTCCTACTGAAGCAAAACAACTACAACAAAGAGTACTTCAGCATGTAAGTTCAATATATTCTTTGGATATGCATAATTATTTCATAACTATTTGTCTAGTTAGATGTCTTCCCTATCATTTGTATGTTTCTTTTATTAGTTCAGTGGTTTTCTGTAGTACTTTGTTTAATGTTGTTGAATGTTGAAAACATTTTTCTTGCAACGGCTTAGGAAATTGTAACTTGGCAATGGGTATCTTGTTTGAGACCAAATATTTTACTTGTCCATGGATATGGGATCTATGCTGCTATTCCATTCCTAATGGTTTCGCAAGGATTTTGAAATGGTAGAATAGTTAGGACATACCTACCATACTCCCCTTACTGATCTAGATAGAATAAGGAACCAAGGAAGTTTAGTTTCTTTGCAAACATAATCAAGTGATGCTGATTAAAGATAAGATCCAGTATCATGCAAGTAAAAGTTGTTAAGACTCTAGTGTCACAGGTTAAAACTAATTCATTAACCTTGTTTTGCAAACTGGAAGGACATATTCTTGTAAAAAAGTATTATTATCGTTACCGATAAAGAGTGAAAGGGATGCAGCTCAATTAGTGAACTTAAGTTGTTGATCTATTTAGCACTGTGAGTGCTCGATTACAAAAGAGCATGACCACATATTCATTTAGTCCTTTGAATAGTCACTACTTCCAGCTGTTTAATTTCTCTGCTTAACCCCCATACAAAATTCGCTGAGTTACTTATAAATTGGGTAACCTTACCACTAACAAAAGTTTGTCCTTTAGTTTGTCCTTTTTTCTGTTTCTCCTAGAATAAGTTATGTCTAGGTTGATTTTTTTTAATGAAACACCATACCCTATGGTAGAGAATATTTTTTGTGAATATTTCTCATAATTTTTCACATCTCAAACATATAAAGACAATCATAACAAGATAATTTCTTGTCAATATTGAGTAAGCTCTGACTACCAATAACAACTGTTGTTCCTTGTTTAAAAATTGAAGTATCTTTAATTTAGACAAATATATGTATACCATGTTCATTTGACAATTTAATACTTCACAATAGCATTAATAGACAAAACTAAAATAGTTTGGTAGCTCAACTAAAGGCTAAGAGGATGTTCTAAAAAGTAGTAGTCAGCAAACCTTATGTATTGAGCTAGTCTTCAGTTTGGTCTAGTTTGGTTACTGGGCGTAAAAGTACTATTATTGATTGTCGTTATAATTTTGGTTTAGAAATCCTTTGTAGGCTAAATCCTTTTTTTTGTAAAAAAAATTCAAAATTTACTACTTTAGACGGTTAGTTTAGGGATGTACTAGCTGACATACCAGGTATAAATAATTTCAAGCCCATTATCGAGCATCCCTTTCACTTTCATTTTTAAAGTTCACTTTGTATGCTCCCTTCATCCTGTAATACAATGCATTTCTAAAATTTTAAGACAACTTAAGAAAACACTCAAATGACATATGTACCCATGGATTAAACCCAATTAAGAAGTTTCTCCTTAAATTATGGTTTTATTTTTAATAACTTTGCTAAATCTGAGCATGGGCACCACATAGATTGTGTTACATTCAGTACAAACTTTAGAAGTTATAATGTAGTATTTCAGGATGGAGGGAGTATATATGTAGGCTCATAAACGATCTTAAATGAAAAAGTTGTCAACTACAAAGTTTTTGATCCTATTAATCTCTATAATTTTCATATAAATTTGTTTTCATCTGACTACATATGGAAACATTATGAATTTATTTGTTCTGCAACTATCTTGCCAATGATGCCACTACCTTCTATACGCGCTTTAAAAATTTTCTTCCCCTAGTGTCACTTTTATGTTAGAGAGTTAACAACCACTTCACAGAAGTAACACCAGGAAAATAAAATCTTAAAAGCTGGTATAAAAGCCACAATAAACATTTTGATAATATATTTTGTTCGATCATCTTTTTTATGACACTCGAAGAATTGTACTAGCAATTTCAAATCATGTTTACTTTGCCTTTTCCTCGTTCCCCATGCTCTCGGCCTGTTGGGACAACTATTGGGTCAGATGCCAGACCACAGCTTGTGTTGTATACGCCTGGCCCAGGCCAAATTCATCTAAAGGACTGCGATTTCGTGACCCGACTACATGTCGGATTCGGCCCGGCACCGACTAGGAAACAGCCTGACTCCAAGTCCACATCTCGTTCGGTCGTGTTCCGATTCTCAATCCACTCTACAAAACTGTTGGATGGTGCACAGCCCGTGTGTTCGTCGTGCCGTCGCCTCCTGCAACTTTGAGGCCATGGCAACCGGCGTTCCGCAGGAACCCGAGCCCCAGGCACCGGCGATCTCTCACCACATTGGTACAATCCTCTATTATCTCCAAAACTATAGGATTGTCGTTGTCTCCGCGGCGCCAGGCTCCGGCAAGTCCACGGTGCTCCCCCGATACCTCGCCAATTATGGCTTCGGCCCGGTCATCTGTGCGCAGCCTCGGCTCTTCGCGGTGACCGTGGCCTCGTCGAAACCCGGACAGGAGCGGGAGTCCGACGACGTCTGGTTCACGACCACCCGGGTGCTCATCGACATGTTGTGCTGCGACAGGCCGGCCTTCGCCGCGGCGTTCCGCACGATCGTCGTCGATGAGGCACACGACCGCACGCTCTGCACCGACCTCCTCCTCGGGGTAGTCAAGGCCGCCGTGGCGACGGAGGAAATGGGGCACCTCAACGTGGTCGTCTGCACCGCCGGCGGACCGGAAGACAGCTCGCTCAGCGACTTCTTCTTCGGCGCGCCGATCGTCGCGTTCCAGCGCGCGGTGCACCCCGTCGCGGTGCACTACTCGCGGGGGCCCATGCTCGACATGGTGAGCGCGGTGGTCGAGGAGGTGACGGACATCCACAGGTCGAAGCCGCCCGGCGACGTGCTCGTGTTCTTGCCGGATATCATCCGCATCCGGGAGGCCTACGAGAAGCTTGAGCAGCTCGACATGCCAGGGCTGGTCCTCTGCCTCATTCACGACAACCTACCGAAAGAGTTCATGGACCACGCACTGGACCCTGCGCCAGGTGGATCGAGGAAAGTCGTGCTGGCGACGGACGTGGCCGAGACGGCTGTTCTGGTCCCCGGGATCACGTACGTCGTCGATACGGGCGTGCTGTCAGAGGACCCGCTTGCGATGGTCTCCAAGGAGGCGGCAATCAGGCGGGCAGCGGTGGCCGGCGCCGCCTTTGCGGGGCACTGCCACCGGCTCTACATGGGGGCGAGTACGCTGGATTCCAAGAGCACACAGTTCCGCACGTCAAGCGAGATGGCGGCGCGCTCAACAAGCTCGCGCTGATGCTCAAGAGACACGCTGCCGATGGCATGCCGGGCTTCGAGCTTCTTGACCCACCAGTGGCGCCATCACTGGAGAATGTTGTTGCTGAGCTCGTCACCAGCGGCTACCTGGATAAGCATGGCAAACTGACAGAGAAAGGGAAACGCGAAGCATACGATGAAGACTAGACGTGAATTCATTCATTTTTGCACTTACATGTACGTAACAGGGCTACCGCAAAACTGTTGCAAGATTCACACCCTCTCCAAAAGCTACGAGGTCACTAGAAACAGAAATTGAACTGAATCATAGTTTTGTTGGAATCATTTCTTTATACACTACTGGATGCTATACACTACAAAATTTCTAAGTGAAAAATTGCACATTCTATACATCATCGTGGAAACTACATCTGAAAACATCGGAAGTAAGACTGTACACACTATTTTAGAGTTCATTGCTAAGGCCCAGTTCATCTTCAAGGTCATCTCCCTCTTCAAAGAGCTTGAGGAATCGTGCCTGGTCTCGCTCCCTCTTCTTCTTCTGCCAGTACTTGTAGCCCCCGAACAAGGCAATGATGACAAGGACTGAAGCAAGAACACTAACTATTACGATGGCAGCAACAGATGTCTTCTTAGTTTCCAAATCTTCGCTAGGTTCACTGTTTCCATGTCCTGGCACGAAAGAAACATCTTGAGCAAAGGCAATGTAGAACAAAGACACAAGGCATTTCTTTCACATTATTAAGTACTATTGATTTAACAGGGAAATTTCATCATCAAAGATGCTGCAGAGGCATTATCCATGAATCTAGACTACTCGTAACCAAATTAAAACAAGCTGCAAAGAATTACCTTAGAATATCAAAAAGCAACGGTAAATCCAGCTAGCTCATAGGAAAAATGTCTAAACAAACAGAAAGGAATAGGTATTGGATATCAGCAGTACCAGTTGAGGCAGTGCAGTTTGGACATAGGAATGTTGCATTGAACTGGCCTTCCTTAAACCGGGTGTATTTTCCACCCTTGAAATCACTCGAACACATCTCCCATTCATCAAAGACACCATCAGGTTTAAATGTGTCCTCCTCATACAAACCACATCGCTTGCATTTCTTTTCTGGAAGCTCTGTCAAGGGCTGCCAAAATTGCACAATTCAATGTATGATGCTAACAAAACAATGAGTAGTGACAAACTGATGAACAATTTTAAGTACTACACCAACAGTTTGACTTGCCTGCCATGATTCTTCACCCTTAAAGGTATATAGCGTGTGCGCCTCCTTCACATCTGGCAAATCTGTTTTGTTCTCTCCATTGCACCGGAAAACCACTGTTGGCTTGCCAAACCATTCATGAGTAGTAAATATCTCAACAGTATCGAGTGTGACTTGCCTCGATGAAAATGTTCCTATACAATGAAGCTCATCAGTGATGCTCAAATAATTAGTGAAGGAAATAAACAAAGGAAATGGTCCAATTTTAGTCCCCGCAACTCTTTGATCGGTCTAAAAATCATCCATCATCTATAGCACGTTTATCTTTGGTCCCTGCCTCTCAAAACCAGACGACAAAAGACCTTTCCCTTGATATTAGCTGTTTTTGCACAAGTGGCAATGGACTAGGATCTGATGTGGGTGTGGCTTCTAGCAGCTGACCTCAGCCTTCCTATTATTCTCTCCTCTCTCACCATCAGCTTCGCATTCCCCATTCCTTTGCTGCCTGCTGCACTCAATCCCCACCAGCACAACTATTCACGCTGCCTGCACTTTCCAATCCGGCTAACTACCCACGAAATCGCACTGCCACACCTCCAATGCTAATCCGCACCCCAGTGGCACTGCCGCACCCAAATCACACTACCAGTCTATCCCTGTCGCGTGGCAATGTGCCACATTTGCAATATGTGCCTTCCAAATCCATCAGCCGTCGCCAGCAAGTTACACATGGCAAGCTCTGGGAACACAAGGTAGGCGCGGGCGACAGCAAGCTACATCGCTGTCCTGTGTTTGCATTGAGAAAACAGCAGCTGCAGCTTGTGTGCTCTCAAGTAAACAAATAAACTATCGAAGCACAAGCTTAAACTAATCAAACAAACAGATCTGATGGGAAACAGAAATTCAGACCTTCTGGCATACAGATTGATTTGTGGATTTCCACCATGAGGGGAAAATAAGTGGGCGATACAGAGAGAGATCAGAAAAGGGGCAAGTCAGAGAGGACTGCACATCACATATGCAAAAATCAGCTGGAGTTAGTGGGCCCAGGGAGGACTGCTGTTGAATGGTGTGGTAAGATAACTGGTATTAGAAATGAGGGACCATTTTTAAACCATCGCATAACAAATATGTTAAAGTTTACAACCCTGTACAACAGTATAAGTATCACCAATGAGAACACAAAAACGGTCAAAATAAAAATATGGTGTCATTGCTTCCACGCAGCCAGTGAAAGACCAGGCCGGTTTAAACAAAATCTTGCCAACTTCTCATTATCAACCAAAATTGTATTTTCTGATCGTGTTTCTACTTTCCCCTTTTTCAAGTAGTGCAATAATAGACAAATTCATGCACCGCAGGAATCTAATTACTGATCTAGGATGCAATGTGACAGGTCTCAATTGTTATACTTTATGACTTATGTTTTAACTAATCACTTGCTTACTAAGGCATTGATAACGAGCACCGTGGCCTCATCATGGTATATCTATTGCACTGTAGCTAGTGAAATGTGATCTCTCACATCTATTGATCTATTCCATTATAGCAATTATAGCTAAGAAGAATTCAAAATATCAACTAGAATAAAACACTGACATCTTTGATGAAAATACACCAATAGAAGATAAAATAAGTTACAACCAGTTGGCTTAGTTTCTGTTACACAAATTTGCTAAAACAATCAACTTCAATCAAGCAAAACTAATGGTAAGCAATATGAAACTAGACCATCTAGTAGCTAAAAAACTACTTAAAATGCAGACAGATGAGAATCATTTAGCTTAGTTTGGTGTCTGTAGGGCACTAAAGGTATTAAAATTGTGTTACTTCAATGCAAAAATACCAATCTTTGTTTCCTGATGAAGTGAAGATAGAGAAGTCATTAAAAATTTTGAAATACATAACATGGAAGAGATAAATCTTTGTTGACACTTGACATTGTCAACAACATGGGACCTGAGTTCTAAAAATTTAAAACAATCAATCTCCAGAAATACAGGACGTGTAAGCAAGATTGTTCTTGGGTTACATAACGAACACAAATTGTGCACGTAACAACACAGTATATTTCCTAACTTCTGAACCCCAAGCGAACTATGTCCTTCAGGGTGAAGCTGAACCCAAAAATGGGCCACAATATGGATTGTTCTAGATTGATAGATCCAACACCAACCAAAAGAATCCCCCAAACTGTTCCATAAGAAGTAAAATCGGTGGCCTTTCCCATTGTCTATTCCATCTTTGAAATGTTTCATAATGAGCACTAAGCTTTTGCTCGCATTTGCCCCCTTCAATCTTCACACTGATGATCCTATCGTAATAAATCATCGAGGCACCTAGCAGGCCAAAATTCACTTATTGCTACATGTAGTTTCTATTTTACGAGTCTATAAAATCATTAAATCTCCTTCAGTCCTTCCCCTATGATAATTGCACAACAGATCTTACCCAGCGGCTAATTCTTTCGCTGGTCAGTGGCCACAAATATATACATTAGGAAAAAGATAATAATATGTCTGGAAAATGACTAGTTCCCATCTAATCACTCTCAATCGAAAAAAATACGGTAAAATAATTTGGTCAACCCTCCATGACGGTAAAACATTCAAACTAAATTCCTTAACCCGAAACAAACAGATACGAGCCAGATCTCACCAGGAATCGTGTAGAGGGCGACGAGAAGGACGAAAAGGAGGGGGCGGCGGCGAGTCGAGATCACCAGCGGCCACCTCATGCTAAGGCCGCGGCGCACGCAGCGGGTTGGCCGTGGGGTGCGGATTCGTAGCTCAGGATCACCTATCCTGGTGCCGCGTCGTAGCGGGCTAGTCGACGGTCGGGCGCCGGCACGCGCCTCTTCCTCGTCGCCCTCCCAATTCCCAAACAAGAGACGGAGAGATGGAACTGATTCTTGTCTCTTCGCCTTCGTGAGTTCGTGACTTCGTGGGGAAAACGATGCGCTGCGAATACGCCGTCATTCTAGAACTACGCCTTCCAACTCATAAAGCCCATTAGCTCCGATGATCCTCAAAGCCCATTTATATAAGGCCCAACAAGTAGCTAGCCCATATGATTGCACAAATCAGATAAGGGACCCATCTGCGACCCGTTCGTGCTCCCCCGAGTCCCGAAGCCAACGCCATTCCTGATTCCTCCCTCTTCCGCCGCGCCGCCGGAGATATGTCGAGGCTCGCGGCCGCCGCCCTCCGCCGCGGCGTCACCGCATCGAGGGATCCCACCTCCTCTCTCTTGGTCGTGTCCCCGCAGGTGTCCGCTCGGCTCTTCTCCGCGGATGCGTCCGGCGAAGCCGCCGCCACGGTCGCAGAGTCGCAGGACGACTCTTTCCTCAAAGCATCCCGCGAAGGTAACTCGGTCATTCTCGTGCTTCTACCTTTTCCTTTACCTGTACCTATTCGTGTTTCTTCTGTAGCTTGTCAATTTGCTTGGTTCTGGGTGGGTTTAGGGTTTAATACTTTGATGTTATCTTCCCGTTTAAGAATACCGAGTAAGGAACTTAAAGGGATAGAGTAGCCGGCAATAAAATGTAGGTTGGATGTGCTATACCTAAATTTGATAAAAAAAATAGGTTGGGTGTGCTATCCGTGAATTTGATGGAGGGATTTGATCTCAAAGGTCATGACATAGTACCACGTTTGGTAGGGTGAATTATAGGTTTGGAAGCATGAGATATTGCTCTAGTTTGTCTGTGGAACACTGTGAAGCAATACTGCTACCAGTATAAGGTCAGTCATTGTTATTGCCTCTTTGGAAGTTTCATCACATGTATAGCTAAATTTGATAAAAAAAACAATTTTGGAATTTTTTAGAAGACGTCATTTGAATTTATTGGGGATGCGTGCTACCAGTATAAGGTCACATTGTTATTGCCTCTTTGGAAGTTTCATCAAAGCTGAAAAGAAAACAATTCAATTTTAGAAAATGTTCATAGGTATTTCTGTTGATTTCATATCTGTGGAGTATTGTCATGCTCAAGGTTCCGCACTAGGCCACTGGTGACCTAGGGCCTAGAGCGCCTAAACATAGATTAAGCATGATTAAGCGTTTGTGCTTTTTTATATATAATTTGTTTTTGCTGCTGGGAGCAAGATCCAGAGGTACCAGCACAGATGAAGGCCAAACAGAGTATTTAATAGAGATATTTTCAAGGCTAATAAATCACAAGGCAGCACAAACAAGGGACATTTATCAGGTTCAGAGCATTTGAGAACATAGTTTCAGAAGAAAATTATGTCAACCGACACAGAAGTACCGAGTTTTTTCCAAACAGAAGCAGGTTCTAGTCTAGAAAAAATAATAGAAACGTATCTCACAGGGACAGCTGAGTGCTGCAGGTCACGCACTGCCGCACTGCAAAGTCACACTCCATCCACCACTTACCACACGAGGGCATGCATGAACAGCTAATGATGCACTCCCTGAGGCTCCCCACCTCATATGCGCATCCATACACCGCCGATGGGAAGCTGGGAGCTAGCAGGATGAGGGAGGAGGCTGGGACGAAGCTATGCCGGTGGCAACACGAGGATGAACAAGGGGTGGTGATGAGGACTCTGCAGCCGGCAATGAGACAAGGAGCGATGGTGCTTTTTGTTTCTCCCATAACCTACCCACCAGGTCTTTATCTACCTGTCTGCGCCAGCCCTCTGTTCCGTGCTCCTGCCATCTGTTTTGCGCTCTTGCTTGTGCCCGCACAGGCTCTTTTTTCCGCCCGTTCGCTCGCTCCTGCCCGCCCGCCTGCACTAGCACAAGACTGCCTCGCCGCAGCTTTTCCCTGTGTCTGTGCCGCTTACATGCCGCCGCGTGCGTATGCAAAGCACCTAGGTGCAACCAATGCTTATTTGGCCGTGCAGGGCCTAATCGATGCAGGAGGCTCTGATTAGCGCTTAATTGTGTGTAGGCACACGTTTAATACTGTTTTTTTGGAACACTGGTCAATGGTCATGCTTAAATTAAAGAAGTGTGAACTGGGTAGGTTGCCGAGCTTGTGACATATGTTGTAACATTTAAATTGGGTCTTCTCTCTCTTGTGTTCTTGTATCTTGATTGTTGAGATCAAGAGGATTTTGTTGTGGCCTCTTAGCCTTTTTTTGTGCTGATACTCATAGCTTGTAATAACTGTTTCGGCTGATAAGGTACCTATTCACCTCATAGATCAAGTATATTACAATAATATTTTTCCTACTGCTACAGGATTGGCCTATGGAAGGTTCTACAGCGTCATTGGTGGAGGCAATCGTCTTGAGAAGAACATGTTGAAAACTGACATTATCCATCACCTTGACAGATGTGGATTGTCATTGGATGATGTGAAGATTGATTACAACAACAGATATGATCCATTGGCCGCGTATGATTCCTCTGCATGCTCTGTATATATAACTTTTTTTCCCTCTGCATGCTCTGTATACATAGCCTTGTGTGAAGATTGATTACAACAAGGGACGTACTCTGTATGCTCTGCATACTCTGCATGCTTTTTATATATAACTTTTTTTTTAATTTTTGTTTACTTGAACTTGGGCTCCTAACCAGCTCCATTCCTTCATGACCCGATCACAAGACAAGTGACGCCTTGGCGTTTTAGAACTGTAGCTTAGATATGAACCTTGTGTCTGGTTGATGCATGCCTATTTTCAATAGTGTTCATGAAGCATTGCCCTTTCTTAGTAGTCCAATTTGTCCCTCACTAGCCTTTGTTGATCTGTCTGATGACCTATTTAGTTAGGTTGTGTATCTGTGCAAGATATTTTTCCTTGAGCACATGATGAGTTCTGTAAGAGGGACAATAGTTATTTCTTCATTGATGTTATTATTCTGTATGATGCTAAGGAAGATTGTGCAAACACAAGTACTTGGTTTACTACTATCAAACACTGTATTTATGGTAAACGTATGTCATGCTTTCATTAATATTTTAATAGCTGTTGACATGATATTGGTATTAAAAAATCTGTATTATTATTTATTTCTGCCCACTTCTGGATGTGATTATCAACCTGAAACTTGTTTTAATGCTTTACTTGATTAGTTTGTTGAGGTTTTCTTCAAAGGCAATGTTTACCACCGCAAATAGGCAAACAAGTCAGAATCGGGTGTACAGGATTGATGAGGTAAGGCGGGACTTTTTCTTTTATCAGCTTTTCAGTTGGTCCAGTGCCAAACAATGATATATTGTCTGCTCTAAACAGATAAGTCGTGAAGTATGGGATCTCAAAAAGCCCTTTGATGGGAAAACTGTAAGTGATAGTTTTGTGTTAAGTATATGTATGTAATCAATTTTTGTTTATGCTTGCAAGAAGATTAAGTAGAACAAATATAGTGTTATCTCTCTTCTACTTAGTGCTTATTGATTGTGCATATACCAAGGACTACAATCCTCCCAAATCTCCAATCTCTTATTCTAGTAAATCTATGCATTTGATATCAATTATTGATTTGTCTGGAAGCAATGATAAAGTTTTGATTCTGTTGTTTGTTGTATTGGTCTTTCCAGGTACTATTGCAAGGAGTCCCACGAAATGCCCTCCCAGAAGACATAGAGCGTTTTTTGTGTGGCACGAACTTTGAACCTCCATTTGAAAGCTTTATAAGGTAAGGACTTTAGACGCCCACTCTTGTTTGCTAGTCCTAGTCGTAGTTGTCTAATTCCATACATACTGCTGCAACAGAGCTGGTGTCCCAGAGCCCATAAGAATGGTGCTGGTTAAATTCCGCACAAAGACTGATGCGATGAATGCCTTCATTACCAAAAACAGGGGTTTCTGTCTGAACAATCAAGTTAGCATGCGTGTCCTTCAGTAACTGAGTAGCCAATCAAATCTCGTGATATTTGCGCCAACTCTGTCAAACAAAACCTTTATCTGAAGTCTATCCACAAATGTTGCCGCATTGTGTGGTTCTGTAGGTTACATTCAACTGGTAGCCTGCTTTATGTTTTAACTTCCTATTAGTTTGTGGTTTCAATTGTACTGTATGGCAAATATTTCATGTCTACTCTGGAAATTGTACCACTGTACCCTTTAGAATAAAATAATTAACAGTACAAACGCTAGGGTTCGAGTGCTGGATTGCTACCGAGTTCCGCTTAACTATGTTACAATGTTTTTTTCTCACAACAAATTAGCTAAAGCCGGCTTATTAGCCGTAGAAACCATGCGAAGATCAAAAGAGATTAAAAAGTGCACTAATAAATAAAAAAAATATGGTGGCAATGGAAGCTGCGGATAGTCGGGGAGCCGTGGATAGGCAAAACTTTTTGTTATTTTGGTAGAATGTTTCTGAAGTGTACAAGTCCGAGATTCGAAGATATGTGCACCGTGCAGATATTTAATGATTAGTTCTAATGCGGGACATTTATTTAATCCTTTTTGTTTCATTCATGGGAAAAGTCGAAGCGGACTTAAAGGTCATCGACGAAATATTTCCTTAGCGTGCCATTTTTTTTTGTTCCGTCCCTAATCCTCAGTCGTTGTCGGATAGGTGGAAATGGGATGGGAGTCACTCTAGCACTGTGGCCGAATAATCAAACGATCGCAAATGGATTAATCGTCAGCGGAGAAAATGATGGATGCATGGTGCCAAGCGAAGCCACTCAGCAAAGCATTTCAGCATGGCGTGCGGTAAGCTTTGGTATGGTAGCTCCTGCGTCAAGGAGCCGAGCACCCGCGACCCCTTTGATCCCTATGGCCGCGTCGCCGTCACGACGTCTGACGCCACGGCGCCAACGGCTTTGTAGCCGTCACGACGACCGACCCCTTTGATCTCCTCACTCACCCCGCGCATGCGCCTCACTGGACCACCCGTCCACTGACGTCCATGCCCTCGACCGCCGCGGCAGCGATGGCGGCAACGCCGGCGGGGGAGGGATCCCTCATTTTCTTCCTGCAACCGCTCTTCCTCCACGGCGTGAGCGCCGCGGCCCACCTCACCCACGCGCTTGCCGTCGCGGGGCGCTTGCTCTTTTGCCGCCTCTCCGCCGGCCGAACGGCCCGAACCAAGGACGAGGAGGTGGAGGGAGATGCCAGCCGCGGCGGCGTTGGCCGGTTCCGGTGCTACGGCTACGGGGTCACTGCCTGCACCACGTGGACCCTGGCAGCGTTCGAGGTCCTCGTCGCCGCGTACTCCTGGTACGCGGACGGTGGAGCCGGGTGGTCACGCGACGCGGTCGCGGAACAGGTGGACGCGGCCGCGCGCGCGGTGGCGTGGTTGCTGCTCGCCGCGTACCTGCAGTTCGATTTCGGGCGGCGGCGGCGGCAGCAGGAGCGGTTCCCTGCGCAGCTCAGGCTTTAGTGGGCGCTCTACATGCTGCTGTCCCTCGCCACCGTCGGCGCTCACAGGGCGACGAGTCTCGACGGGTTCCTCGTGCCCGGTCGGTCGTGGGCGCTCGACGGCGTCTCTGTTGTCGCAGCAGTGGTTCTACTCTCAGCTGGGTTCCTCGGAAGGAGGGCGGGACGGGGCCAAGGCCATGCTTCCGAGGAGCCTCTGCTGAACGGCGCGCACGTGGCGGCCGATGAGAACAGCAGCATCGCCGGCGCCGCCGGCTCATCCTTGCTCACTGGCGCCGGCTTTCTTAGCGTGCTCACCTTCTCGTGGATGGCCCCTCTGCTCAGCGTGGGCCACAGGAAGACCCTCGTCCTGGAGGACGTCCCGGGCCTCGAGCCCGGCGACAGCGTTGCTGGTCTGCTCCCATCGTTCAAGGCCAACCTTGAGGCGCTCAGCCGCGACGACGACAGCTCCAGCTCCAGCCGGAAGGTCGTCACGGCATTCAAGCTCACCAAGGCCCTGCTGCGCACCGTCTGGTGGCACGTCGCGGTGACCGCGTTCTACGCGCTGGTCTACAACGTCGCCACCTACGTCGGCCCGTACCTCATAGACTCCGTGGTGCAGTACCTCAACGGCGACGAGAGGTACGCGAGCAAGGGGCCGCTCCTTGTCCTCGCCTTCATCGTGGCCAAGGCGTTCGAGTGCCTGTCGCAGCGGCACTGGTTCTTCCGCTTGCAGCAAGCGGGGATACGCGCGCGGTCGGCGCTCGTCGCCGTCGTGTACCAGAAGAGCCTCGCACTTTCCAGCCAGTCGAGGCGGAGCCGCACAAGCGGAGAGATGATTAACATCATCAGCGTCGACGCCGACCGCGTCGGCATCTTCGCATGGTACATGCACGACCTCTGGCTGGTGCCGTTACAAGTAGGCATGGCAATGTTCATCCTCTACTCCACGCTCGGGCTCGCCTCGCTTGCCGCGCTCGGTGCCACCGTGGTCATCATGCTCGCCAACGTTCCTCCCGGAAAAATGCAGGAGAAGTTCGAGGACAAGCTCATGGACAGCAAGGACGTCAGGATGAAGGCGACGACCGAGATCCTTCGCAACATGAGGATTCTGAAGCTGCAGGGGTGGGAGATGAAATTCTTGTCCAAGATCATTGAGCTGAGGAAGACAGAGACGAATTGGTAAGAAATACCTCTACACATTGGCCACGGTGACCTTCGTCTTCTGGGGCACCCCGACCTTCGTTGCTGTGGTCACCTTTGGAGCTTGCATTCTCATGGGGATCCCGTTGGAGTCAGGGAAGGTGCTGTCAGCATTGGCCACGTTCGGCGTGCTGCAGGAACCGATATATGTCCTTCCTGACACTATCTCAATGGTGATTCAGACCAAGGTGTCTCTTGACATTGACAGGATAGCATCATTCCTATGCCTTGACGAGCTACCTAGCGATACTGTGCAGAGGCTTCCAAGTGGTAGCTCTGACTTTGCAATCAATGTCAACAATGGGTGCTTCTCCTGGGAAGCCTCACCTGAAGTCCCAACACTGAAGGACCTGAGCTTCCAAGCTAGGCCAGGCATGCGTGTTGCTGTTTGTGGGACAGTTGGCTCCGGCAAATCGAGCCTGCTATCTTGCATTCTTGGTGAGATTCCGAAGTTATCAGGAGAGGTCCAGACTTGTGGAACAACAGCATATGTCAGTCAGTCAGCATGGATACAGAGCGGCAAAATTCAGGAGAATATACTGTTTGGCAAAGAGATGGACGCAGAGAAGTATGACAGAGTACTTGAGTCTTGCTCGCTGAAGAAAGACTTGGAGATCTTACCATTTGGTGATCAGACAGTCATTGGCGAGCGAGGCATCAACCTTAGTGGCGGGCAGAAGCAAAGGATTCAGATAGCCCGTGCTCTGTATCAGGATTCCGACATCTATTTATTCGATGATCCATTCAGTGCAGTTGATGCCCATACAGGATCCCACCTTTTTAAGGTACATGATTTATTGATTTATTCTAACTATAAGCTTCATCGCTTACAAAATTTATTTTGCAGGAATGCTTGCTTGGGGATTTGGCTTCAAAAACAGTGGTTTATGTCACTCATCAGATTGAATTCCTACCTACTGCTGATCTCATTCTTGTGAGAAATTCTTGGTAAAGTTTTATTGTATTATTGTTACCATAAGTTTGTATGACTCTTCTTATAAAACTCGTGATGTAGGTCATGAAAGATGGGAGAATAGCACAAGCAGGAAAATACGACGAAATACTAGATCCAGGGAAAGAGTTCATGGAGCTAGTTGGTGCTCATAAGGATGCTCTGACAACATTGGATGCGATTGATTCCATGAATGGAGGCAATGTGCCCTCTCCTTCAAGTGGCAAAGCAAAGCCGAAGCTGTCCAGATCACTGTCATCAGTTGAGAAGAAAGATAAAGCCAACAATGATGAGCAGAATGCTCAGAGTGGGCAGCTGGTGCAGGAAGAAGAAAGGGAGAAAGGTAGGGTGGGGTTCTGGGTCTATTGGAAGTACCTCACACTAGCTTATAAGGGAGCTCTTGTACCGCTTGTGTTGCTAGCACAGATACTTTTCCAAATACTTCAAATTGCGAGTAATTATTGGATGGCTTGGGCTGCTCCCGTGTCAAAGGATCTTGAGCCTTCGGTGAGCATGTCGACACTGATCTATGTCTATGTCATCCTGGCTCTTGGAAGCTCACTGTGCATCCTTGTAAGATCACTGTTCCTTGCAACAGCTGCATACAAAACAGCGACGTTGTTATTCAACAAGATGCATTTGTCCATATTCAGAGCTCCTATGTCTTTCTTCGATTCCACTCCGAGCAGGCGCATCTTGAATAGGGCAAGTCATCTTCGTCTGATCAAATGTTGTTAGTTCAATTCATTTACTTGTACTTTGCTAATTCATGTATTCAAAATTTGCAGGCTTCAACTGATCAAAGTGAAGTGGACACTAACATTGCTGACCAGATGGGCTCTGTTGCATTTTCCATCATTGAACTTATCGGAATTATTTTGGTGATGTCTCAAGTTGCATGGCAGGTCTTCGTTGTTTTCATCCCTGTATTTGCTACCTGTGTCTGGTATCAGGTACTTTTTACCAATCCTATCATCCTCCATGTTAAACTGCAGGATCACCCATATCTCATTTTACTTGCCTTGTTGCAGCGATACTATATTGACACAGCTAGGGAGCTGCAAAGGCTAGTAGGAGTTTGCAAAGCTCCTACCATACAACATTTTGCAGAATCAATAACGGGGTCAACTACCATTAGAAGTTTCGGCAAGGAAAATCAGTTCGTGTCAACTAATAGCCATCTAACAGATGCCTACTCTCGACCGATATTCTACAACACTGGAGCAATGCAGTGGCTTTGCTTTCGTCTGGATGTGTCATCTCTTATATTTGCCTTCTCTTTGATATTTTTTATCAATCTACCAACCGGTCTCATTGATCCAGGTATATATCATGTTAATTCTGAACAATATTTATAGTTCTGCTGGATGGATGACAGTAAATTAGATAGGATTTGATATGGATACGTAACTAACATCACGACGAACCTTGAGGTATTGCTGGTCTTGCTATCACATATGGGCTTAATCTGAAATTGCTTCAAGCATGGGTTGTCAGGGGTATGTGCACTTTGGAGAACAAGATAATATCAGTAGAGAGAATTCTACAGTACATTAGCATTCCTGCAGAACCCCCACTTGTTATGTCACAAGATAAGTTGGCTCATAACTGGCCATCTAATGGAGAAATTCAGCTCCATAATCTCCATGTAAATCCCTCATCCTTTTGCCGTTGTGTTGTATTCTTTTTTTTTCCTGTACTAGAATAGTGTCCTGAATAATTAGTGCGATGCAAAGGAATAGTTAAATTGTGTGCTTTGTTCAAACCAGTGCCTATTTGTCTTTCCGGGATCCAGATTATGCTTTGATCAATAAATCTGAAGAAGTCAGATGGACATATGTGCACAAGAGGAGAGCAAAAGAATAATGTCAGGAGGAAGGCCTTCTTATTTTTTTTAGTTTGATGCAGGTGAAATATGTACCGCGATTGCCATTTGTTCTGAAGGGTCTTACAGTCACTTTTCCGGGGGGCATGAAGACCGGTATTGTTGGAAGAACAGGAAGTGGCAAATCAACCCTCATTCAGGCCCTTTTCCGTATTGTGGACCCTATTATTGGTCAGATACTAATAGATGACGTCGACATTTGCACAATTGGACTGCATGATCTGAGATCCAGACTGAGCATCATTCTGCAAGAGCCAACAATGTTCGAAGGAACTGTTAGAAGTAACCTCGATCCTCTTGGGGAGTACTCTGATGATCAAATCTGGGAGGTAGTTTCACCTTTCACATGCATTGGTTTACCTAAGTTGCTATGTCATTCCCATTTTTTCTCTCAAAAGGAAATAAAATAGTTGAAAATATCAATCTGTTACTCCTGATTTCAGGCTTTGGATTGTTGTCAGTTAGGGGACGAAGTTAGGAAGAAGGAGCTGAAGCTTGACTCACTAGGTCTGGTATCCTTATACTAGTCATGCAGTTCAGAGTTACTACTACTTTTTTCCCCTCACCTTTGTATCTTTTTTTGTAGTACCGGGTTCGAGTCGTGGTCTCCTCGCATTGCATAGGCGAGGGTAAGGCTTGTCAATAATACCCTTCCCCAGACCCCGCACAGAGCGAGAGCTCTCTGCACTGGATATGCCCTTTATACTAGTTTTGCCTAAATGAAATAATGGAGGCACATGGTACTGAATATTCTTGTGAAATGTTCTTGACTTGGATTGCAGTGATAGAGAATGGTGAGAACTGGATTGTGGGCTAGCGTCAGCTTGTGTGTCTTGGTAGGGTAATTCTGAAATGGAGTAAGATCCTTGTTCTGGACGAAGCCGCTGCTTCAGTGGATACTGCAACTGACAACTTGATCCAGAAAACACTGAGGCAGCAGTTTTCAGAGACGACAGTCATCACGATAGTGCACAGGATCACTTCAGTTCTTGACAGCGACATGGTGCTGCTTCTTGACAACGGTTAGTGCCACAAACAGCAGTTACTACTGAATGTGATGCCTTTGGCGCTTCTGTTGTGATGACGCTGGTGCTGTTATTTTGCAGGCGTGGCCGTCGAGCACGACAGGCCGACGAAATTGCTGGAGGATAAGTCGTCTCTGTTCTCAAAGCTCGTAGCAGAATACACCATGCAGTCGGTGCATACATAGCAGACGACTGAAGATGGTTCTTTCTTCTACTCAGTTACTCAGGCTGAATCGTCGAAAATGCCAAAAATTTGGTAGTGCTAGTTAGCGCAATAGAAGAGGATCAGACGAGCTGATGAAGATGGAACTCCTCAACATATGTTTGAGATGGTTCTTCTATCTCAGTTACCCAGGGGGCTGAATCGTCGAAAATGTTCAAAGATGTTGTAGCACTACATTTTGGTTGCGCTAGTTCAAGCGCAATCAGGAAGAGGGATCACAAGAGCTGATGGCTAGTTACGTCTAGAGAACTCCTCAACATATGTTTGAGATGGTTACCTTCTATCTTAAGCAAGAATGCCTAGAATACATCGAGTGGAATGTTCAAAGATGTTGAGATAGTTCAACAATCAGGAAGAGGGATCACAAGAGCTTATGACTAGTTATGTCTAGAGAACTCCTCAACATATGTTTGAGATGGTTACCTTCTATTTTAAGCAAGAATGCCCAGGGGGGCGTCATACACCCCCACGGGTCGAGTGGAATGTTCAAAGATGTTGTAGCACTACATTTTGGTGGAGGTAACACATCTAAATAAAATAGCGAAGTATTTGCAGCTTTTCATGCTGGAGAACAAAACATATCGACAGGATTCAACAGTCAAGCTGTTGATCTCATCCTGATTATTCCTGTGTGAAGTCTATCAAAAGAGATACATAGCCTTCTTAATTCCAACCTGCTAAAACCTTGTGTGACGGGCTCTCCTTCATTTTATCTAATGAATAGCCATTTGTAGAGCTCAGATCAAGCAGATTAAGTGCTTCATGTATCCTTAAATCTGTAGGCAAGACACCATTACTCTTTCAGCGACATAAGAAGTATTAATACATGGCAGGAATTGCCTACCTCAAACTTCTTCTTTGTGAGAGCAAGCAGCACTTGAGGGTCCTGCTTAGTCTGCATGTACGCGTCAATCTTGTTCATTTCCTATCATACATTGTTCTGGCGTCATGATATAAATCATTAGATTAAAGACATGAACATGCAGTGAAAACTACCTCGATGAATTTATGTATATGAACTCTCCCTTCGGTGATGTCACAACTCTTTATGCCAGCAAAAAATATCTGAAACCCTTCGATGAACGGTGCATATGCAATGTCCACCTATCCCAAGATTAAACAACATTAGTACTTGTGAATTACTAGAGCCCCCTACGTTGTTAAATGTACAACGTTTTATGGCAAGCTAACTGGTTCAAAGTAAACTAATTAGCTCGCCTGAGCACCATATATATTTTTTTAGATAAAGGAGGGAGTAACTAGCATAAGGCATTAAGAACATTTATGCAAATTTACCAGACTAAGTTGGCCAAGGAAGAAAGGGCCATCATCGAATTTTAACAGGGAGCTATTTATTTTGTCCAGAGCAGCAACTGACAATCAAGAGTCAAGAATCAGTATGTGCACAATCATAGCTCTAATAAAAATAAATAAAAATTTTCAGTTCTTGCCAGCTTCAGCGGTCATGGGCCCCTTAGATCTAAGTGCGTCGAGCAATGCCCTATTGAAAGCATCTGAATATCCCAGCAGTTCTTCTGCAAACCTTTGCTTTTCAGGATCCTGAGACGACCAATTGGATTAGCAACCTAAGAAGGGCCATCATGCGGTGAAGTACAATTATGAACTTATGATGAACTCACGTTGGTGACAAGTTTGGGTCCGTCGAAGTTGCTATCTATGTACTTTATCAGATCCAAGCTCTCTCCCATGATATTGTTGTTGTGCTCTAAGGAAGGCACCTGTCGGCAAGAATCGCAAACTCATCAAGTGGTAGGATATGATCTCGATTTTTTTTTTTTTTACCGTGCAAAACTAGCCACACCTGGTTCTTGGGGTAAACCTCCTTATACCATCCAGGCTTATCCGTCATGTCCAAGGGGACTAGCTTGATCTTCTCCTGCAAACCCTGGTTCCCAACAAAGCAATAATGAAAATTTAAAAGCATGTACTGAGGGATCCAAACTAGGTCGAGTTGAATACCTTGTAATTCCTTGTGATCCATGCCCGTTGCGCATACGGGCAAACGTACGACATATACAATCTGCAGTTAGAGTTTCAGATACGCAAATGCCCGGTTGGTAGAGTACAGTCAGAGACGCATTAAAATAGTATGATTTTTTTTTTGCCCGAGAAAATAGCAATAACACTGAACAGTGCTTAACTGCATATGCAGTCTGTGGTCTATTATATCTGGTCATATCCAAACCCAACTTCAGAGAGCAAAGCAAATGATCGACCTGGTTGTGCCATCATAGAGAGGTGGCTGCTCCGAAGCAGATGTCAAGGTAGCAGGAAGAGCTTCCATATCAAAGTCTCAAAGCTACACTCACAGACAAAAATTAGCAATGATATGGTACTCTGTCTCATGTCCAACTATGCCATAACTGTAAAAAACCTGTTAGCCGGTGATGCTACAATTGCCTCCAGCAGTGATACGCACAGGAAAAAGGATGCCTTTAGCAAATGAAATTCTGGCGCTGTTAAATGAGAGCATGCAAGATGGCAGCAGTCTGAGCTGAAAGCGATGCCGAAGAAAAATTAATTCAGTTCGAGCGTCAGCAGTGACGAGTAGCCAAAAAAATGAGTGAGTGGTAATGGCTGAAGCCATGTCTTTCATGCGCCGTGTCACAATATGAGCAATACATGCGTCGGAAGTTGGAGGTTATTATTCAAACACCCAACAGTTCTTCAATAGTTCCTACTATAGGTGTGAAAAACAAAGTTCCTACTAGGAGATTATTGATTTCTAGCAAAATGGGCCGGCCTTTGAGCATACCTAGCATTAATTTCTAGTAGTTCTTCATTGTGAACGGTTGCATCCTGACCACGGTAGAAGAGGAGAGTAAGGCCCAGTTGAACATGATTGCGTGAATGTCTACATGGATGGACGCAGAACGAGTCCGTTTGGACTCTTTTATTTTTTATTTTGGAGGAATTGAAATCTACTCTATGGATTAGACTATTTGATTTAGAATTTAACATTCCATACTTTTTCAAAGTTTGGATATAAGCTTGTCTTAAATTTATAAAATGAGTGATAGAAATTGATTTCATAGATTCTCATGATAAGTATCCCCTGTGTGGCCAACAACAGCATATAAATATACTATTTCACATATGACTATATCTTCTGTACCTAAATATACTAATTTGAACCATACTTATCCGTAAGAACACAAATTGAGATAGTTTGGATGGTTCAAATTTGTGATTTTTAAATTTCGACGTGTACAAACTAGTTTTCGGAACCCTAGATTGTCTCAAATTGAAAAGTTTTGAATACCAAATTTGTTCATCTCATCAAGATATACAATCCTTATATAGGCCATTTTTTCATTTGAGAAAGTTTGAATAAAATATAGTTCAAATTTCACAAGTGTCACACCAAAGTCTATATGAGATTCAAGAATTTATGACTAGTGTTTGATAAAACTTTTCAAATGGAAAAATGAGCTTATGTAACAATTGTAGATCTTGCTGAGATGATCAAACTTGGTATTCAAAGTTTTTTCATCTGAGGGTCATTTAGTGTCTCATTTGAGCAAGTTTGACCAAGTCAAATTTGGTCAAATGAAAAACAACACTTTGACTCTAGTATTATGAACTCTAAATGACTTCAAATTGAAAAGTTTTGAATACCAAGTTTGTTCAACTCATCAAGATCTACAATTGTTGTTTTGGTCAACTTTCCATTTGAGATAGTTTGGATGGTTCAAATTTGTGATTTTTAAATTTTGAATAAATATCCGGATAATATCCGTTTTTAAATATCCGGATATATCCGATACTTATCCGGATTATCCAATATCCGTCGGATATCGATGATATTACATCCGTATTTGATATCCGCCTAAGATATCCGTTTTAGTATCCGTATCCAAAAAAAAACCGGATATCCGAGTAACTATCCGAATAAGTGTTCATATTTGTTCGATCGAACGGACGGTCGAATAAATATCCGTACCGTTTTCATCCATACTTTTAACACCATCGGCCAACTCGCCTGCCTCTCCCTCTTCTCCTTTCCTGCTTCCGTCTTATCTCCTCCCCACCATTCCTTCCACTTACACTTACCTGACCCACAAATGCTCCTGCAACGGACTGCAGCATTCATCCGATCCAATCGCATGATGCCGGCATTTATCCGATCCAATCGCAAGATGCGGAAGAAACTGCTTCATCCGCGGCCACTGCCTTCGCGTTAAAATCCTCACGTTCTCATCTCTGCCATCACCCTCCATTCAGGCAAGTGGCCAAGTGTCCGTTCTCCTATCCCTAAGGTTCATATTTGCAATTGTCAGGTTTCATGATTTCGCGATTGCGCAATAGCTCTAAAGGTGCTCGACGATTTGCCAACAAGGGAATCTCTGCAGAGTTTGTGCTTCATTAGTTGTCAGGTTTCATGATTTCACGATTGTGCTATAGCTCCAAAGGTCTCGACGGTTTGCCAACAAGGGAATCTCCGCGGAGTTTGTGCTTCATTAGGCTCTTCCGGCTCACACAGGTACACAAATTCGCATCTCACGTTGGATGAGTGTATGCATCTTTTCTTTTGTTACTCTTGCTGCTCGATTCACCATCCTATGTCTGAATTTTTTTACATTGGAGCAACAGCAAATTTCTTCAAATATATTAGCTACAGATTAACCAAAAGAACAGTACGTACAAATTCTATTGATCAATAAGGGCAAGGAGATCTACTTTTTTCTTTACCGATGGTTCAGTCTGATGAAATATGAAACCATCCATGGTTCTAACCAGTTCCTACTTATCTATTTTGGTGCCATAGATTTCTCATTTGTTCAGGGCAACACCAATTTCCCACTACGTACAGGCAGTGCCTCCTCTCTGTGAGACTGGCAATTCCTCTTCGATTGTTAAATTTTTTAACCTAGCATTTTGGAGAATGCAGTGCGTGACAGAACCTGATCAGGGACTTATGCCATGTTCGCTTGGCTGATAAGCCATAGCTGAAAGTACTGTTGGCTGATTTATCGTGAGAGAAAAATATTGTTCGTTGGCTGAAAAAGTACGGCTTATAAGCCAAGCGAACAGGACGTTAATTCATGAAAAAATGGACAAATTTGCAGATTTGCAGAAAGTAAGTATCAAATGCCAAGTTTATGTTTGCGAACATATATTCTCTTTCCATGCAAAGAAAAAAGTTTAGTTCACATAAAGTCTTACTACTGCAAGGTGGTGTTATCGATTTTAGTTAAATTCTTCATCAAAATCAAAGTCACCATTACCTTGCATCTCTGCATTAAAACTCTCTGTACATACACAACTTTCCCTTTACTCCACAGTCCACACTGTAGTTTTCTGCTCATCGTCAAGCATCAAGAACACATCAGCTGGTTCTCCATTAATCCTACTTTTACTTACTTTTCTCTGGACATTAATGCATTTTCTTTCCTCATTTTAGTCTTTTTATACTTTTTAACAGTGTATTTTCCCAAACAACATTGATATTTCTTTCCATTCAGAGCGCCGCCGAAGTGTTGATATGGTGCTCTTCATTTCTTTATTGGTTCTCACAAGGACTTTCGCAGTTATATGTACATCAGTACATGAATATAATCACGAGGCTCAAGGATTCTACAAAAGAAAAAAATTGTCTCACTCTCTCAACTAAGGTCTCGGTGTGAAGACGTCGCCAAAGAACTACCAATTGACTATCATGTTCTCACTGTTTAGCTAAATCAAAGAAGACCATCTTTTGTGAAGAAGCATCTTGAAAAGAAATTAAAGTCAAAATTAGTAACCAATTTACCATTAATGTTTCATTAGTCAAACTGTTCAATATCTGTTGCTGTTCTTACTGGGTTGTCAATACATTCGTCATTCTTTACTTCTTTTTTGATCATGTAGTTATTAGTTATTACTATAGTTTATGCCACGACTCAGCTATAATAGAGCATTATAAAGCAATATTTATTTACCAATATATCTACAACTAGATGAACTATTCATTTGACTTTTCATCAAAGGTTAAAATAAAAACACCGTATATATTTACTTTCATGGATTGACTATACATCGTTATAAAGTTATAGCAACGCGCGGGGTATCATCTAGTTAACTTAATTGATGTGTACCTAAATTGTGATTATTAGAATGAATTTTAATTCCAAGAATCCAAACGGGGCCTTAGATTATTATTCGTATCATTGTCATAAGTTATATTTTGCACCTCGTACTATACTTTGGTTTCAGTGTGCTGCTGTTGGAATTTGGATTAAGTTGAGTGCCTCTTTTCTTCTCATAGTGAAATATGTGCATAGCACAATGAGAAAATTGACCAGAAAGTTTAAAAATTTCTGGCGGCTGATCCTTAGCAGAACCTCAATCATTTTGTTAGTACCTTAACACTTGCATAATTGAATAACACTTTTCCTTGGATTTCATTATTCTTTCCCTATCATCTTGAGTCTTCTTGTCATCTAGAATCTTTTCGATCGTCAATTAAGTGCCCAACAGTAATGTTACGTGATGGTATTGCCAAGGGTGGAGTGTAGATTGGCCACAAGCTCTCTCTCTCTCTCTCTCTCTCTCTCTCTCTCTCTCTCTCTCATTCAACTACCTGTGTACTTTCATTTAGCGAATGGAATGTTTGAGTGGTTCATCGGAGAAGCTATTGAATTGCATATTCGTGTTGCGTGGCACAACTTCAGCCTTTTCTGTATGAAAACCTGAGAAACAAATGCAAACAGGGCCCAAGCCTGCTAATGATCCATTGTGGACATTGTTACATATATTTTTCTTTCTATTCACTTGGTGATTCCTTTCTGACTAACAGCACAAGGAGAATATTGGTATGAGACAAATACTGTCAAATGTTGCTGAGTGCAATGGATCAGTATTTGTCTCATTTTTTGGCAACATTTGACAGAACACACTGATGCGATCATTCTCTCTCCCCCCACCCCTTCATATACAGTGATATCGATACATTATTACAGCTAACTAGTTTATTTTCAGAAGCGCAACCAGTATAGAAGGCCATGTCTTATTGAAAACCATTTATGTAATATTCAAGCGCACAAACAACTAAACGAGTCTCGATCTACTATGCTGGTACTTCTGGCAAGAGTTTCATCCTTGGTCACAAGCTTTAAGCAATCTGGAGGTTAAAATGATGGTCAAATGTTTTGAAATTAGCTGAACAAATAGATCAATCAAGGCAGGAAAAATTAAGAAATATCATACCCCAAGCTGCTTCTTTGTAAGCTCAAGTATAAACTGTGGGTCCTGTTTAGTCTGTGTATATGCATAGATCTTGTTCACTTCCTGAAATATACCAATCCATGAGTTAAAGTTTCTCCTCAAGAAAGCATTATCAAGAAAACTGGTTTGCATTGGACGGACCATGCAGCCTGGTCATTAGGATAAAATGATCATTTCAAACCATGTGAGTGAATACATAAAGCTTTAGCCTATTCAATGTCCATCAGTCTGAATTACCTCGATGAACTTCTGAAGGTTGGGTCTGCCCTTTGTGATATCGTAGTTGTTTGTGTTGGGAAAGAGTATCTGAAACCTCTCGATGAATGGCACATATGCAGTGTCCACCTGTAATGAAAATACATATCACGACAAAACCACATGCCAACCGAAGCCCACATTCACAATATGAACTCTTTCTCATAGAGATTTGATTTTGAACCATGCTGCAGGGATAATGATTCCTAGTGTTCAGTGACATACCAGACTGAACTGACCAAGGAAGAATGGTCCGTCCTTGAATTTCCCCAGGGCGTCTTCTATTTTATCCAAAGGAGCAACTGATGTAAAGACATGAGACAATTAGCATCTTAGAAAAAGCCTTTTCAAATCAAACAAATCAAACATGTGAATTAGTTATGTTACCAGCTTCCTCAGACACATCTTCCTTGGAGACTATAAATGAGAATAATGCTTTGTTAAATGCATCACTATATGCTAGCAGCTCCTCAGCAAACTGCTGCTTGGCAGGATCCTGTGAAGAATTCAGAGTCCAGACGTTAACAAGCCTGAAAAAACAGCATATTTTTTGCAAGCGCTACATTGATGGCTATCTGGTGTATTCTTACCTCAGGGAGCAACGATGGGCCTTCGAAGTTGCTGTCAATGTACTTAACCAAATCCAAGCTCTCTCCTTTCACCTGGTTGTTGTGCTCCAGAGAAGGCACCTGCCGGGAAAAAAAAGGGTCAATCATACATGAAAGGAAAATGTAAAACGAAGTCTCCATGGACCTGGGAAAATTTGAACATGAAAGGTCCTAAGGGGGTAGCAGATTAACCAAACACACCTTGTTTCCTGGATAAACCTTCTCCTTGTACCATGCTGGCCTGTCAGTAAGATTTATGGCGACTATCTTAATCTTGTCCTGCAAACCCTGGACAAACGACGAGGAACAGAAAAGGTTTCAGTTTTCCTTTCCAGGAAGACACCACAAAAGAGAACCGCTTCAACAAATCAAACAGTGGTGGTGGTGATGGTGCCACCTTGTAGTTCCTGGCAATCCAAGTGCGCTGCGCGAACGGGACAATTATATTCAATGTACAACCTTCACGAGACTCAAAAAAGAGGGGTTAACTTCTAGCGCCTGATCTGTACAGGTGAAATTTACAATTGATAGGTCTAAAATCTACCTGGTGGTGCCATCGAAGAGGGGAGGGGGCTCGGAGGCGGAGGTCAGGGGAGACGGCAGCACTTCCTCCACGGAGCTGCACGGGGAGGAATCATTGTTCCATGAAAAAACTCAATAAAGAATCTCCTTTCATAGAAAGTTCAACAGAGAATCATTTCTATACGGGGGAAATTAGATCAGGAATCTGAACGGCAACAGCCGACAGAGACTGGATCCCGTTCTGGCGTTCTGCCGCTTGGTTCTGCTCAGTGCTCACCTTGCAGGCGCGGCGGATGCCATGGCGACGATACGGGTTCGTGAGGAGCTTCGCGCGCGGAGGTGGCGTTGAGCTGCATCTGCTCGTCGCGGACTGCGAATAAATATACTCTCTCAAACGCCAATAAAATGGACAGCTGTCGTTGCCCTGTTCGTCCGCTCAGTGTGGACCCCCCGGCAGTGCGACCTGCTTATTGGGCTGCCGCGGCGTTTTCTAGGCGCTGCCGCCAGCAGTCGCACGGTACTGCTCTCAGCTCCTTCGCTCGCCTCCTCGGCGGTGCCGTCGGGCTCAGTGGACGCCGCCCTCGGGTCCGTCGCCTTTCTCAGAAGTGCCGCCGACGTTCTGCAGGTGCTCCGCTCGGCTCCTGCGCCCGCCTCGGTGCCGTCGGTATCAGCGGGGGCCGCCCTCGTTTCCGTCGCCGGCGTCGTACCATCTTTCGCTGCGGTGACGTGCTTTATAGAAAAATTCTTTAAAAATATGGCTAAGATGTCTAATATGTTTTCTCATCATGTTACTATAAAAAGTTGATCTATTTGATAGATTAAATGGAAAAATATAGGAAAGAAAGGTAATTTGATTTTTTTCTTTACAATGTTATAAATGAACATAGAAATTAGTTGTCATTACATAATACCTATTCTAGTCAGCAAATCAATGACATGTTAGTGGAAAGAAGTATTTGATGAAGTTAGGCTCAAGCAACTAACACACTTAGATTCAAAACACAATATTAGCTAGGATTACATTATAGGTGGAAAGAGCAAAAACTACAACACAAGTAGGATCCACTCCCCTTGGGTGAAACTACAACACATTTCGTAAATCTTGAATGACACGAAAGATTATACGGCGTCGAAAACTAAACTATACCGGGATTTAAAGTTACATAGTTAAGAGCAACCTAGTACGACCAAGTCTTACTCCAGAAGTTAGGATAGACGAGGGCAATGGAGAAACAAGATAATGATTATCCAAAACATGGCGCATGACCAACAGATCCAGAAACAAGAGATTGAGAAGTAAAACATCGTGAACCCTAAGACCAAACTAACCAACGATAGACTTGAACTTCTTCGAAAACTAGATCCCTTCTTCTCAGATTACACCATCGCCTCTGTCAGACGAACCTAGTTTCACAATGACGACTGGATCTCGTAGCTCTGCTTCGGATTCGAGAGGGACGAGGATGAAGAAGAAGAGTAAGGACCAAGGGCATCTTATAGTGGCGAACGGAGATGGGACGCAGCGCACCGGAAGTGAAGACAGCATGGATGGGATACACTGATGTTTCACGCTACGGGGATACAGCCGGGCATGGCGCGCTCCCTACGCAAGCGAGCGAAGGGGGAATAAAGGAGAGGAGAGAGGGTTCACTCGACGAGGAAGGCGTGCGGGTGACCGTGTCCCCTAAAGAAGAAATAAGGGAGGGGGGCCTGTACGGGGACAAGGGCGAGGATCAATAGCGGACCGGAGGCCAAGAAAAGGAGAAGCGCACAGTGCACGAAGACGGCGAGTGCAGCACGATGTCGCGGATATACGAGGACAGGGTGCTAATGGGCTCGACACCGACGGCGTCCACGGGGCACGCGACGACAGCGACCCGACGTGTGTAGCGTGGTCGTGCTGGGCACAGTGCCTGGGACTTGACATCCACTCGGGCTTTCTAAGCATTCTCTACTACCCAAGGCTAACTTTTTCCAAGTGTTCTTCTTTCCATGCCTTCCTTGTCCACAGTTTGCGCCAACCTTTGTATGAAGTGAGATCGCAACATACATGCTTCCTCCAAAACCACCTCCTCTTATTTACTTTGAGAGAACACTATTTCATCAACCTATTGTGGATTTTCCACTCAAACACCCAAATATTTGTATCAAAAATGGTATGGCGGTGTAGCTTGGTAAATGTACTTGGTCAACAACCTCGATACAAGTGCATGCCGAGCAACGTCACCATGTGACAACTGTTCCACAGGGGCCCTCGGTTTTGTCGCGACACCATAAGTTATTAACCAGACAACTACTACCAACTTACACGCAATGAAGACGGTGGGGTCATAGACCATAGAATTAGAGGAGTATTGTAAGGGAAGATTCAAACTAGGGTTCATTTCGCAACAAGTGACAAGGATTTTAAATCCAACAACGGATTTGATTTAAAGAGATTCAAGCGTTCTACTGGGACACTCATAATTAGTCGATATAGTGTCCTATGTTATCCAATCACGGCTGGTATGCTCGCATCCGAATGGTAATTTCTCTTGTAACCCACTTAACATCATCCTCGAAAACCCTAAGCACGTCTAACGAGACTTAAGGCAGATGTACGCAATAACATAGCGAAATAAATAAAATGCATATTCTGAACATCCTTATGTTGGTACAACATGCAGGCACTTACTCTCCCATTCTCGACACATCGTTTGCCTTTCCTACGATCGGACTACCTCAACAACTACGGACGAAATACAATGAAAATATTACAATACCGGTGGACAGCGATGAAAGACACTACTAACTACGGGTACATCACCCCAAGGCAACTAATCTACTTTGGACCACGCATCTTCATTCCCAGGCTCGACGGATTCTTTTACCGCCCTGGCTATGGATCTGCCTCCTCTCTAGCAACGGCTGAATGAGAGGAATCAAGGGTTCTACTTCTGACACTTCCGAGGGTGGAGGTGCTAGCGGTACTGCAACACTAGCTCTCCTTCTTTCTGGCGGGTGGAGAGAGATCCCCTCCACGATCAAGGGATCCTGCCGTTCAGCAGCCAGCGTCCTCCGCTTGGCCCTGGTGACAAGGAAGGCCTCTCCCAACTGATGGGCATGTCGATCTTCAGCCTCCTTTAGAGCTTCCAACATGGCAGTCTCCCGACTCTCAGCGGCTGCCAGCACTGGCATGCACTTTGGCAAGCTGCACCTAGAGCATCCTAGAGAAGATCTTGGCTTCCTTGGCTCACCAAAGGCACTTCCTCAGCTCCGAGGCTTGCCGGTCATATTGCTCATCCAGAGCAAGCAGGCACGTGGTCAAGTGCACCACGGTAGGACTATCTTCTTGTGCATCCCGCTCTTGCAAAGCCTCCATGCGAGCCCTCCATGCCCATCGATTCTTTTCCAAAGGTGGAAAGAACCTCATGGGGGTACGGGCAATGGGCTCTTCATAGATCTGACAAAGGTACCGCAAGGCTCTATGGGCCACAGCCTAGTAGGCGTCGACGAAGCAAAACCCAGTTGCAGTAACATTCCAGGCTTCAGTGATGTCAGGGAACTCTTCACTCTTCCTAATATAGACGGTAACTTCACAATGCTCAGTGCCATGCTTTTCATACTCACGGCCCTCATACTCGGGACGATCTTTGACTCCGAGCTTTTGCAGGGTGGCATACAGGATCTTGGGGAAAC